AGTTGAAGTGAGAATATAAGTAAAAATGTGAAAGAAGAGATAACCACAAACAAAATTAAACCGTTTCTCTTTGCTGGCAAATGAAAGAGAAAGACAAGTATATGTATATGTAGAAAGCTTCAAAGCTAACAAGATACTCTAAACGAAACAGAGGTTTCAGAAAACTCCAAAAGTGATAACTTTTTACCTTTTTATATAAAAGCAATTATTTGTACTAAAGAAAAATGCTTCTAAGAAATTAAATAAATCAACAGTTGCATTAAGAGTAGCCTTTGGTACTATTTTCTACTGAGACCTGCAAATCATTGACAGAGTCTGATTCATACAATAAGACAAAAAATTGTACTATATGAAAAGACTTGCTTTTATGTCAATTGATATTACTTTTTAAATTTCTTTTTCCGGTAGTTTTATAAAGAATGGTTATTTGGTGGTATAACTATATAAAAAAAAATATAATTTATAATTTAACCAAAAACCACCTACGTGACTAAATCATATCTACTAAATTTAAGGTTTTTTGTTACATTATAAATTATAATTTTTTTGGTTATCAACCAAATTAATCCTAAAAAAAATTATGCCAAAAATTGATGTTATCCAAAAAATGAGAGGAGGAAATTAAAATTTAACTAAAAGTGCCTTTAATGATGTTACTTGATTAGAGGTTTACTTACTATCTCATCCAAAAGGAAGAGAGAGCTCTGTCATCTTTTTGTTTATTAGTAGTATTTGGATAAAAGAGAGAGGGATCACTTCTTGCATTCAATTTACGTCTCCATAGTTATTAATTTGTGTTTTTGGGTTTATTTTTACTGTGATTTCTGAAAGCGAAGCGTAATACACAAAAGACAATAGTTTGGCCATACAATAATTATGAGTAATTTGGCCATAATAAAGTATTTTTACACCATAAAATACGGATCCAAACACTACAAAAAAAAAAACACTACAAAAATCTAGAAAACGAATGTTCATTAATACCCTTATTCAAGTACTCGTTACGCGCTAATCAAGTACTCATGGTGGGGCAAGCGCCTAAGATTTATCAAAGATTACTCGGGACCTAGCTTTTTACAGTTTTAAACGTATTTGAGGTTTATTTATATGAGATGGCGATATAGAACAATAAATATTAGTTGGTCTAGTGGTTTGGTGTGTTTTCACAATTCTTAGTACACGGGTTCTTTAATAAAATGCGAATTTACAATTTTATCCTCATCTTCTACTTTTAAGTAGCGAAACTTTAACTTTAATTTCCGTCGTCGTCCATTGTTTTTCACCATTATTGTCAATTTCGTTGGTTTTCTTTGTGATTTTTACATGAATATGATTAATCTATAGCTCAACCATCGATTTCAAATTTAAAATCCATAAAAAGTGAGTAATTTTCAGATTTCCGAGTTTTTTAACCGAAGAGGGCCAAATCGCGACTGCCGGTAGCCGTCGAACGCTTTACCGCCGATTAAATTGCCGCCGCGTCCGCGTTTTAGAACAAGGATTAATACTAGATGACACAAGCTTCGGAGGTTCTACTAGTAAACTACAGTTTCAGAATTGTGATTCTCAAATCTTGTAAGACCACCTTCATCCATAGTCTCTCAAAGAGTATCTCAAACAATAATAAAGTATTAATAAAATTAAAATATTATGAAAATTTCTAAAAAAATTAGAAATTCACCCCCAAGTTTCTTATTTGAGAGATTTAACACCAAAATCTCTTAATTTTGAGAATTCTATGTAATATTTTAATAGTATTTATTTTTTAATATATTTTGAGATACTTTTTAAAAGACTATAGATGGAAGTGATCTAAATAGGATTATCATATCTATAAATAGTTAACTATATACAAAAAATCGTGTAAAGGATAAAAGAATTCATGCACGTATTATTTTTATAAAAAAACTAGTTTCGTGCCTTCGTTGATAATTGAGATAAGAAAATGATAGAGCATCGTTGCAACAAGAAAATCTC